CGTGTTCACTGGTAATATAAATGCTGTTAGCAAACAGCTCAGCCAGTGGCAGTTCTTACATTTTTTCACTTGTGAGAAGTGGCACTTTGAATCCAAAAAAGTTTGGTAAGAGTGGAAATTACAATAAAAATGAATTTTGGATGAATTCTCAAGACGATTTATATCTTTTTTCATTTGGTGGTGGTTGTGATATACTTGTGTACAAGAAAGGTCAAAATGGTAGTTATTGCGACCCATTGACTTACACCGCCAAGCAAAATGAATTGACTGATAACAAATATTTTACGCCAAAGAGTGTTGTTGTCTTCCAACTTAACTAACCTTTTTGTCACCTTCACATTTTAATTCAAAATATTTGCAACTTTGACTCCAAAGTGTCATATTTGTAAACTTCCACGTCACTACAACCTGAATTAATGTACACATAGTTTTAACAAAATCTGTTTTTTTTGAAGGGCAGGACAGACGGAAAGAAAACGGGTTTTACCCTTCGAACCGAACACTGGAACGAACACTCGATTAGGAAATCTTGTTTTTTGGTTATTTTAGACATCTCCTCTTTGTGTCTTGTATCTTCCGGAAATGGATTCACGACGCCGCAACTCGCCGGGTTTAACAAGTTTCGACAGTTGCGGCATATCTACTCTTTGTGTTTCGTTGTATCTTTCTGAAGTATATTAATTGAAAAGTAGTTTGGTATTTTTATTTATTATGGGTTTTCTCAAACAACAAACTATAGTAATTGACTATTAAAATTATATTATAATTAATATTGTCATCTAAAAACATATAGCATAAATGTTGATATAATTAATTATAATTTGATAATTTGGTAACACAATTTGTTTTTTGAAGCAAAATACTAAGAAAAGATCAATAGACTTTTCACATATTTAATCATTAACAATTGACAGTATATAGTAATTAACTATTTTAAACAAATAAAAACATCAGTGATGTTGTTAAGATGAATCGCTACTTTCAAATGTATTTTTGCGTTCTACAGATAAAGTAAAAATGACTTAATCAATTTGTATCGATTTTGTATCGAAACTCTAATTCCTTATCAAAAAATAGAACATCACCAATCTTTTTTGTCATTGGAAATATCCATCACTTAATGAAAATTGTTTGAAAAGGCATTTCTCTTGGAATTTTCAGAGTTTATCCATAGACTCTAAATAAGACTCTAAGCTAGAGTCCATTTTTCAAAGACTTAAGGCATTTAGTTAAAATTAAACTATAAAACAATAATAAAAATATTGTATTATAAATAACTTGACTCTTGTATTAAAACTGGATTTTATTTTAAAAAACTATAAAACTGTGTAATAATTATTTATCCTTGTTTTTTTGTTTTGCTTTATTTCAAAGTGTTCTAAGTCTTCTTAAGTTCGTCATTAATTTTATCGACTTCAAGTTGTTTGTTGTCAGATCTTCACCAAATTTTCTGATATGTCTTCCAACTCAACAATTCTCAATTCTTCATCTCTGACTGATTGTTGTGTCTTCTTCAAATCGGATTGTGTCTTACCAATTTGAGTGTTGAATGTAGATTCCTTCTGTTCGAATTTTGCAAGCTTTCTCTCAGCCTTTTCAACCTTTCTAGCATACTGTTTAGCTTGTTTCTTGGCTTTAGCAGCCGCGTTCTGTGCTTCTTCCTTCTCTGTTTCGATTTTTTCCAATTCTGTTTCGTATTTCGTTTTCAATTTAGCAATAGAAGATCCAGTAGCACCAGCATCCGCCAATTAACATTCTGAATCGGTGACTTTAGCTCTAAGTCTTTGAGTTTCTTTATCAGCCTCTTGTTTCATTGTTCTCTCTTTCTCGAGTTCCTTCTGTAAATCAACACCCTTTTCTGTATTTTTTTATTTTAGTCCTGTTTATTGGGTTCATATCTTGAATACATTTTGTTGGCAATGTAATAAATCTGAACAAATGCAACGTGAATTTGTTTTTTAAACAGTTCTATAATGCCCAATAATTTATATTTCACCATTATAATCACTGCACCTTTATTACATCCCCCTCTTAACCAATACCTCAATTTTTCAAAAGTGCATTTGTTGGCAAAAACCAAATCTGATATTTTCAAACACGTTTCCACAATGTTTTGATGTGGATCACAAACCACCATTTTATTATTTCACTGTCAAACATTAGCGCAATGAATGTGTGCCGTTCGTTGTGTTTAAAAAAACTCAATTGGTGTGGCATTTTTTAAATTAATATAAAATTATAACAATTTTAATCGGAATATTAAGAATTAAATATCATAAGTGGTTTTGTGAATGTCGGTTTGCCCCCATAGTTTTTGACTTTTTTTTAAAATTTGCTAATTTTTCAGGCAAACATTATAATAGTGTCAAGTTTTCATGTTGTGTCTAAAGAAAGATATTTCCAAATGGTTTTAGTTGTCGCTATTCTTTTCACAAAAATGTTGTTTGTATGACGCTTTCCAAAACTTTTTGGTAAAAAAATCAAAACAAAATATCTAATAAATGGTAGCAATAATACGTGTATGCCGTAAAAAAAAGACACGAAAACAAAGTTATAAAACTCGGCATATTAAATATTAGTGGAAAGAAACATCTAATACACAATATGGAAGATGTTTCCTGGTGGTTTTATTTGCCAAGTGGGTGGATAGATTAAAAAATAAATGCAAACATAAAAAACTGGTAAAAATTTATCATTAGAATATCAAGAAAAATGTTCACAAGTGGTTTTTATTGCCGGGTTGATAGTTCTGCCAAAAATGCATTTTGAAAATGATTTAGTTTTATATTCTAATTGGTTAAAATAATTAATAATATTATTATGTAAATTGTAGCAATAGTTTTAATTTGCCTCGAATTAATAATTTAAAAAACCAAAAAATGATAATAATTATATTGATATTAACATATTATTTAATAATTAAATATCGGGGAATTGGGATAAAACGTAGCAAAAACTTGTAAAAATTGATGATAAAACACAACCAATAAAAAAACAAAAGATCAAATTATAATTATATTTTTATTATAAATTACTATAATAAAATAATATTATAGTTAATAGTTAATAAATGGTAATAAATAGCATTTTTTCATGTGTAGATAGTTAGGGTTAATAGACAAACAACAACAACAATAATATAGTTTTTAATAATTCTTACATATAAAACCAATAATACATAGTAAAATAATCATTAGAGAACTATTAATCTATAATTAATTGTGGGACAGTTGGTATTGTTGTTATGTGTTTGTAGATTGATCGATGATCATATCATAGTTTGTTATTAAATGTAAGCTTGGTTTCATTTGTTTATAATTCAGTTTTAAATAACCAACAAAACAACAAGTTAGACAACATACAACAATTGTATGAACAATTAGAATTTTGTTTAATTATATCAACTATTTGTGAGATGTATCCTCAGCCATATTTCCTCAGCCGTGTCTCCTCAGCTGTCGGTATATATATATTTTTACAATCCACAACACTTTTGTGTAAACCGTGGTAATTATTATAATTTATTATAAATGTTGATATTATTTTTATTAATATTTTATAATTGTATTATTAAAACACTTTAATTATTTTTTAGTATTTTTTTATTTAGAAAATATTTTTCGTTTTATTGGCTGTTTCAGTTTGAAAGAGCAATGACAACTCTGAATTTTTGTGTGCTTTTTTCTTTTTTATTTTTTTTCAAAAAAAAATGTAAAAAATATCATTTTACCAATAAAAACACTAAAGAAATACAAATGGTTTTATTCCACAAGTAGTTTTTTTTCTGACTATAGTTGAAATATTTATATAAGAATATATGATATTTTTAATAAGGGTTTTATAAAATATTTTCTATATTTTTTTTAAAAATATTAGTAAAATATTAATAAAAAATAAAATAACACCAAAACTTCATTACTATGTTTATATAATAGGCTTTTGTAAATCGATAAGATTATAGTAAACATATTTAAAATCATTTAACATACTTTAATTAATATAATCATAAAATCAACATCATGTTTAATTTTAAATAAACAATTTATTTGTATTTTTAATCAAAAATTAGACTATTATTTTTACAGTTTGAATAGAAATATATAAATATAATAATTATACATTATAACATTGTTTGTAAATTTGAAAAAGTTAAAAAAAATTAAAAGAACTATTATAATTCAATGTTGTTTGGAGTTAGTTTTTAAATATAAAATACAGGTTAAATGTGCGCATTCAATGCGTAATAAACCCTCAAAAAATCAAAAAGGCATAAAAGATCCAATGTGTTTGTATTTCAACGTTGTATTAATAACTTATTGTATTTTCTATCCTAAAGAAACACAAAGATTAAAAAAATAACAAACAATTTAATATTTAAACACAATTTTTATATTCAATCACAATGAAATGCAAGGTTGTTTTTTCTACTTTATTTTACGACATATAATATTATACCATACAACAATGTATAATCAAACATATGCCGGCTTGGATTCAAGTTAGGAAAAAGACCCCTGTTTTCTCGATTCCCCCGCCCCCATACAAGTCCCCAAGTCCTACACTCATACATCACAAAATATAGACTAACAAGGTCTCCAATGCTCTTTTCAACAAATTATCCGTTTGGAAACACAAATCTTACAAAGAGAGAAAAGTACTCGACCCCATTACACATTGCAGAATCTTCCATCAATGTATAATAGTCACACTGCTTAAAAATGAGTTGTAGGTCATATCTGTTTTTTTTAAAATCAACTCAAATCTCCGCTGCATAGTTGAAAAACTCGCAGCAGTGTTAACAACTTTTTTGAAACATTTAACATTAGCAATATTATGGAGATCAATTTCGACATGGCATCAATTTGATTATTTGTCAACCCACACGCTTACATCATCAATGCAGCCATCATTGTTATAAAGCTGCCTCTTTCATTTCCATCATCATTTGTTGTTGAATAACTATCAACATTTTTACCAAGTCGCCTTTGTACTTCTTTGTTTGTTTCTTGTGCGATATATTGGGCGGAGTATTTTTATTCTGGTTTTAAAAGATTTTTAATATAGTTCATTTTTTAATTGTTCAATTTTTAACACAGTAAATTTAATTAATTTTTTGATCGAATTGTAAATATTTGGATTTTCAATATAAGTAGATTGACCACATTCAATATCAATTGAATTTTTATTATGTAAACACTTTTAAATTTATTTGTTTCTTAGGGTTTTTCGACTAAGTGTTTGTCATTTTTTCCGTCTATAAAACACTTTTCCACAAAAAATAATAATAAAATTTACTTAAACGATGTTCGGGAAGCTGCACCTTTATTTCGAAAGTGTAATAAGTACTGAACTCTACAAATTGCTTGTTACTGTTATGGTCTTGCATGTGTTTAAAATTTTAAGATAATAAAAATATTAAATAAATATTTTCAAATTGTTATTTTTTGTATGATTAATAATATTTAATAAAATTGTTATATATTTACAGTTATATATATTCATTAAAATTATTATTAATTTTTAATTCAAAAAATAATCATCTTTTCCAATCATATATAACCAAATTCAATGATATTTTTGTCAAAGTGGATTTTATCAATTGTATTTGATATTTGACATTCCAAACAATTTTATTTAAAGTGTATAAGTTGATAAACCTTTAATCATAAATTGAACACTAATAATTGTAAATAAAGTTTGTTCAATCATAACTACTGTTAAAACCACCAAACATCAAAAACTTGTAATGATTATTTTTTTCAAAAAAAATTAAAGATTGATTATTAATTAATTTATTAAAAAATTTGAACATAATATTATTATGTCATTTGTTGAAAGATTATTCAACCTTTCATATAAAAAGAACCTCAGTGTTGATAAATAATTAAGTTATTCTTGTTGAAATGTCTACCAATCAAAAAAGAATTTGTTGTATTTAACCAATGAATATAAGAAAAATATATGACACATTTGAATATTATGGTTATATTTTTCAAATAAAATCAAGAATTTATCAATATAAAATTAAAAATTATTAAACAAATAACAGATGTTATTAATTTCTTAAAATATTTTTGTTTTATAATATTTTTGTTTTAAAATTTCATAATAAATCACAAAATAATAAAAAAATATTGCTTATCTAAATGTGAATTTTTTTTATTACTGATAAATTTTGTAATGAATATTGAACAATAGTTATAAAGTTTTTTTACCTAACAATTCTTTAGTTATTATTAAGTATTACTTTCAACAAATATTGTTGTTGTAAAGACAGTCAATGTTATTTTGGACACTTAAACCAATTTTGAAAAATGATTATTTTCAAG